TTGCTTTTCACCTACCAAGTGTGCTCTAGCTGCTGGAATAGCTGACAGAGTCCTTGAGATGCAGCGCTGCGGTGCTTCGGTTCTTTGTTTTGGCACTGCGCGTTTTAGAATGCTGCCATAAATGAAATAGTGCTCATGGCAGACTGAAGTTCAAGTACACAGATCTCGCAGTCTCCACGAGGACACAGGTTTTGACTGTCACTGTTTGCTCTGGGGAAGGCTCTGTTCCAGATACTCGACTGAAGCTGGTACTGGGCTGTGCAGATGCACACACGCTCAGTCCCACGCAGGCCTGCGGAGGGGTTTAGCAGAGCAAACTCTCCGTGCTGCAGGTGAGCAGCTCGTACGTGCTCCAAGTCTGTGTGCTACTCTGGTTTCAGATATTTGGTTGGTTGGTTGTCTTCAGAATAGGTACCTGGTGTGCAAAGCTGTAGAGCTGGTGCTGGGTTTGGTTGTCCTATGCACCAGACCCCGTCAGAACTGCTTTTCTGGGGTTAATCTCCAAGCCCTTGAGAACCTTCCCTTACACGTTTTAAGCATACCTGATTAGGTTTTATGGAAATAGCACATCTAGGATGATTACACTAGCATGTCTAATTATGATGTAATTATCAACTCTACTGTTAATTAAAATGCCACAAAGAAAGCTAAGTAAACATTACTTTTTTTTGATAGCTTGAAAAACCTAATAAGAGCAAAAATAAAATTCAGTTTTTTTGAAAAGACATGCATTTTGAACTGATGAATGCCTTGTAAGTCGTATGCCTCTAAATATAAAATATTTAGAGTGTCTAATAAAGTAATGATATCTTTGGATAAAGGAACTCACAAAATAGCACTTTGATGCTAATTGTGAGTAAATGAAGAACCTTCATTTACTGATTCCTGCCTTCCTTTGCAGGTTGTGATGCTGTGTTTGGAGCGATGGATCTCCACATCCCCTGGCAATGCTCTGATCATTTCTCTGATTTAGGCTTCTCTGAGGTAAAGCATCAAGGTCTTCTCCCTAACAAGAGGTAATTGCACACTGCACACAGTGCTCTGTGTACCAGTCTAGATCATGTTTTTTATGTGTTAAGGGCTTGGCTGGGAAAGAAATGAGACTGCTGGCAGGGACTGACCATTCATTTTAAATCTGACCTGATGATTAGGAGCACTGATCTTTGCAGAATTTGGGTTTTGGGTCCAGGCTCTGGCAAAGTTCAAATCCTGAGCTGGCAGTGGGGTGCTTGGAGAGCGCAGCCAGCAGCAAACCTCAGACCACAGCTTCCTGCAAGGTCCTGGCTGTGCTGATCCAAGACCACGCAACCAGCGAGCATCCAACAGGAAGCAGACACAGCTTCTCAGGGGTCTGACAGGAAAGAGATGGAGTGGTTTTACAGTCAGACCCACAGTGCAGTACAGGTGTTTTGTTCACACTGCTGAAGCTGTGGTTTAGCTTTGGAAAATGCTGTGATGGGCAGCGAGTGCTGCTCAGTGCTCACAGCACAGCCTGGGCCCTCTGCAGCACAGTCCTCTGAGGAGCTGCTCCAAAGGCACCGGAGCTTTTGCTGTAGTCCTGCACCGACAGACGTCAGTGTTCTCACAGCTCCCTCGCTGCGGCCCAGCTGCCTGCATGCCCGGGGAACAGCGCAGGACGGGGGAGTTGAACTCTCGCTGTTCAGTGGCTGTGTTAGTAAATACAAGAAGGATTCATCTGGTAATTTTTCAGTGTACGTGACATTTTAATACCCATATTATCATATTATCGTACTATGCTGTGGCAAGGGGATAGAGCTGTGTTAGATGTTTGGCATTTCTTTTCTTTTCTTTCCTGTTTAGTACCTTCAAATACATCTGTCAGAGTTACTGTTTCTTCAGTCTTTGATAAAATAACTCGTGTTTTTGAATCCCTTCCCAAGTAAAGCTGGGGTTTTTTGGCAGGGTTTATTGTAGTTTTTTGCATTTAACCAACCAAATGTTTTGACTCTTTTTTTCCTTTTCCACATTTTTAAGAACTGCAGTCTTTTGAAGGATTGGTTTACTTCTCTCTTATCCCTTGACTTTGCTGCTTCATCATACTAGGGTTTTAAAATCTTTTTTGAAATTATAGATATTATGCATTTGCTTTGAGCCTTTAATATATTACGTACCCTTCATTTGATTCACAAACATCCCCTTCACAGTGCTTCTAAATTCTTATTTTCAAACTTTCAGTTTTCATGTAATCACCATTTTAAGTTTAAACATCATAACAAGATCTATCTCACTTTTCCTTAGCCTTGTTAAAACAGCGTGGTGAAAAGGATGGTTCTGTATGTATGAACACCCATGTGTGACACTGCCTGACTCAGCCGTAATGGACATTTCTTATTCAGCCAGGAGAAAACCCCCCCCCAAAAATTATCTTTTTAGGGGCCAGAATTCTTTCTCTGGAGGCTCTTTAAATACCCCAGTTCAGTTAAGATTCACCTCCTTTTTCAGCGCGTTGTATTTAGGCTTTTTACAAGAAAGAGTGCACACGCGTTACCTGAAGCCCTCGTTTCCCATTGTTCTCCAGCGTTTCGGGAGCGCAGCCGTTTCCCTGGGGTCCTCCGTGGGGTCACTGCGTGCAAGGACACGTCCAAGTGCTGCTGGTCCCCCTGCACCTGTTCTGAGCAGCATTTGACTCCCTGAAGTTGAATTCCTCTTTCTTTCACCGTATCTGCAGGCATTGGAAAGGTGGAAACAGCGCAGTGACTTTCCCAGGGCACTGTTACTATTTAACTTCCAAAGTAGCATCACCTCCTCCTAAGGACATCCACTTTTAAAAAAAAAATAACAATTTTTATTCTTCTCAGTGGAGTATCAATCTGGATACAAAACTGTATGACATATTTTTAAAATCATTCACCTTAAATTTATGCTCCTGACGTGCAACAGCCCCAGAAGGCAGACTGCGCTATGGAAGTGGACAGTGAGGTGAATTTGTGCCCTATTTGTCTCTCCCATTCCACACATTGTCTAAAACTACACACAAAGGGAAATTAACCAACAGATTACACTGTACAGATAATTTTTATCAGTATAGCACCAAGACATAATGTGTGAAAGTAACAAATGAGCCCAATTAAACCAACAGAAAACTAACATAATGACCTGTGTACTCGTATTCCACAGTGTGAAAGATCCCCATCGGGGGTGCTGGCCCAAATCGTGCTGTGGGATGGGAACCAGAAATCACTGCATCACTGACAGCTGCCTCTCTACCACCTCCCTCTTGGAGAGTTACTTGCTGAGTGAAAGCAGCAAATAGTAACAGACTGCGAGCCCTCCACTCTGTTACTGCGTTACCTGCAGCCAGTTCAGATGAAATGCCAGCTCACCACCTGCACAGGGTATCGGCACACCAGGTGATGGACATCCATCTCCCTTAGCCCACGTACCAGAGCTTGCACGTGACTGAAGGTTGGGAACAATCACGAGAGATCAGTGGTGACGTTACTGTTACAAGAAACAAACTCCAAGTCAAGTAAACAGAATTTTCTGTCTTAAAGCAATGAGGTCCTCCAGGGGAGCGAAGGCACCACAGGCAGAACGCTGGCCCACGCACAGCCCTCGTGTTGCAGGGCCGTGGGTTGGGTCAGACCCCGCTGCTCCTGCTGTGCCAGTCACCTCTCGCTTCCTTCCCTGCTGCAGCCCAGGGCTGAGGTATCCCAACCAGCAAAGGATAAGTGAATTTGCCCTGTAATAACCCGAACATGGAGCAGTTCTGCTTACCTGTTCTCATTTCGCTGATGCAGTCGGGTATTTGGAAACACTGAAAACTGAGGAAAAAGGCAATGAGGGGGAATGTTAATGATGATCACAGACAGTGTGGCGTTAACGTGCTGTAAAGTCAGAGGAAAGTATGTGATTTGGTTACTTAAAATAACCAAAGATTCTTATTGTAAATAACTCTAAGCAGAACATACTCAAAATGAAAACCATGATTTCTATGAAAGCAAAATCAAGCTCATTTTCTAAGGCAGAGGGAGAGGAGTAGAGGAGCAATGGGAAGAGGAGAGGACAGAGTTCTGAAACACCTTGGATTGCCCAGATCAAATGTAAAAGCACTGCTCTGACAGATAACGGGAGGAAAGTGCCTAATGTCACACCTGACACATTCAGAATAAATGCACTGAAGAAAGCTGGGAAAATGGCCCAAATGCTTTGATACATTTAACCTGCCACAAAGCATGCAATAGACTTCATATTCATGGTGTTTGTGTCTGAGAATCACACACAGAAAATAAAAAAAATGAGCAGGGAACAGCTTTCCATGGATGAGACGTCCATATTTATTGTTACTCCATGTGCATAGAAAATGGCAGTGAAGTTCCTTATGAAGTAGGCAGGGAATGGAAAGGTGTGGATATACTGGACTGGACTTTGTGCTTCAAAATTACACTATTCATTTTTTAAAGTTTTTTTTTTTCCTTTTAAAATTTATAACATTTTCCTGGATTCTTTTTTGTGCACGATGTTCAAATTCCTTTCAGAATGACACACTGCATTACAAATGGATGGCACTTTAAACCAATGTGGCATCTCCATATTTACACCAACGAAAGAAATTTACAAGACGTAATAGCGTACAATCTCGACATTCAGTAATAGCAATAAAACAAGGGCATCCAGTTTATTTTTTCTGTACAAACTATCAGAACAAGACTTTTATTCACATAAAAAAATCTGCTTTAATTTGCTCTGACCTACACACTTTCCAAATTCATTTTACTCAATTCTCAAACCTTTTGTCACGTCACCCACACCCTCACCAGACTACGGGAGCTACAAGTAATTCTACCTAACAGCTAAACAGAGCAAAACCCATCCCTTCCCGTTTTCCTTCCTGACAGTTCCTCACCAAAAAGAAAATAAAATAATCTTCCTTGTTCCTTCTTCTGTTTCACTTCCTCGTCTCACAACCAGAACAAACGAAGCCGTTCCATCTCTTCCCAAGCGAGGTGACAGCACACGGTTGGTTTTCCTCTTGGATGCTACACCCAGGAGTCGGGCGAGCCCGGGTACTGTTCTGCTCTGTACGATGATCGTCTGGTGGAATAAAAGTCTACGTAATTGGTGGCTGATTTCAGTCCGTACGGCGCGGTGTAGTCTGCAGTGGCAGGAAAGTGAACTCGGTCATCGAAGTAGGGATCTTCGTAGCTGTGTGGGGACTGCAAGTACAACCTGTAGGCGTCGTAGTTCTTCCTGGTGGTGTCTTCCTGGCTGTAGTACAACTGCTGATGCTGTCGGTGAAAAAATGGGAAAAGGAGCTGTCAAAATGGAATTAGCAGAGGAAATACTCGTAATTTGAGAAACGAATTTACACACATTATACAGACCCTTTCCCTAAGAAGTGAAGGCCAGCCCTACCAATGCTGACAGGAACGGGCTTCAAGCTTCCATGAAATGTAGCTAATTTTTAGATTAAACTAATTGGAGGAGCCCCAGGCCTGCCTGCACCTCTCCTGCGTTCACCAAGGAGCCAGGAGCTCCAGAGCAGCGCCGGCAGAGCACAGCAGGAAGTACAGAACCCACCTGTGCCCACCAAGAGTCCAGTCAGAAAAGTAATCTCACATCCCACCATGAGAACACGCTAAAATCTGTGGCTATAAAAGGAAAACACAAAGGTGACAGAGCGGCCATTGCTTCTGTCCGTCCGTGCACTGATGGCCAATTAGCTGTGCTGCAGACGCACTCCATAAACGAGCACTGACACCGCGGAGCACGCTCCAAACCCCTTGGGTTGCATTAAGCACTGGACACCGAGCCCTGCGCTGTTGGTGTCACTTCAAACCCGGAGTCACCTGCAACCGCCGGCTCTGTTCCCGTGCTGGTGAGGAGTAGGAGCTGATGTAGATTGGGGAGGGCTTGCTGGAACCTGTGAGGAGACAGACCATGGCATCAGCTCCACGCTCTCATCTGCAGGTCTGTCTGCTTCTATTTTACCTACAATTACGTAGCACCCCAAAAATTAAGTCTGCAGATTTTAGTATCTACCAATAATATAATACAGCAACACAAAACAGGCAGATTGTGTCCCTCAGCAGTAGTTACACTGCAAACAAGAGGCTTCTCTGTGTTGCTGATTTTTGTTTTAGACTTCCTAATTTCCTTCTCTTCATTCAGTCATCTCTATTGTGTCAGTGAGAAGGAAAAGGGAGATGAGGGAAAAGATAACATCTCAGTATGATTTAATAATATATTATTATAATATACAACCACATGTTATTACTTGTAACATAATATATATAATATACATAATAAAACCATTTTCTGTGATAGGATTTTAAATAAACATTCCAAACACCTCTCATCTCCCAGTACACAGAGATCTTCTCTTATTCTGGTAATGTGTGCAATTTTAAAGAAAATAGCAGAGATAAAACACCTGCTCTGTTCCACATGCAATGAATACCCTGAATAAAAACGGAAAGCAACATGAAGTAGCAACAAGCCTGCTAATGCAGCTGTTGTAGGATGATTGTGTCAGCTCCTCCCGTAAGGAATGTTCACGTATTCAGCCAGACGTTCACCTGGCCGGTGTCTTACCAGTGTATATGTCTTTATGTGTAATGACATCGCCTTGGTTATTGTAATACTGCATAGAAGGTTGCGTTCGATCGTACTCGGAGCGGGGTTCTCTAATTCCCAATAGAGCCGGGGACGAGGACGTGCTGCCAACTGATGGAAAAGGGATTTTCAGTGTGTGCAACAGAAGCCTTTCCATCCCCAACCTTCTCTGTATCCTCCTCACCCCTTCCTTCCTCAGAGACTGACAAATGACATGTGGGCAATGGACAGAACAACTACGTGGTGTGGGTTGGCCAAAGAACCCCAATGACAGAAGCTATCAGCAACGCACCACGGATGACAGGTCTGTACTTTAACAGTGACTCGCTGCCCTGTAACGCTGTAACTGAAATAAGAGACCTCACCCATTTCAGTTTGCGTGTGACAATTTGTTTGCACTGAAGATGATGATGGTTATGATTTCACGTCAGTTATATGGTTAGGTCCATCCTATTGCTTGGGCAGGACAGCAGCATCTCCAGTGGGGCTGGCTGAGGTGACCCATGTGCGTTGCTGTGCATCGCTGTGCGTGGCTGTGCATGGAGCAGCACACAGCAGCGAGTCCCGCAGCTCAGGGACACTTGAGCACGTGCAGCTCTGCTGCGCAAACAGAGCACAGGCAGCACGGCCCCGTGTCTTACACCATGAGTAGTGAACCGAGAGGTTATTTGGGTTTAAAACATGGGGTAGCGGGTGCCCTGTAGTACATCCCTGTACGTTTCCTGACTGACCTGACTGGATGACGGGTGACATCTGCTGATTCGTTGTTGATAGAGAAGGATGGGATTTGAATCTCTCTCGCTCTAGCGTTGATACTGGTGTAATAAAATGACTTTGATTCCATCCATCCTGTGGAGTGGGAGAAAGAAAGAAACATCAAAATAAATCGCTTTTTGTGAAGTTGGGGGGCTCTGTAGAACTGTTTTCCAGCGTAGCCTAATTTTGCAGTTTACCTTTTTGTAAATGCTGCGCAGATCTCGGTACTGCCACAGCGTATTCAGCACCTGGGCGGCCGCCTTGACGACCTTCAGCGAGGACCTAAGGAAGTGGAGAACACGACCGTATCAGAAAGCCACTGAATCCACTCTAAACGATCAACGGTTCTGAGCTACGCAACAGCCTAAACCCTGGTGCTGTGACCCTGGTGAGGCCGCAGCCTTGCGGTACCCGGCTGTGAGCAGCACAACACGGTGACGCGGGGAAACGCTTCCCTCCCCAGCCTAGAGACCTCTTCAGGTCCCACGTGAGGAGCAGATAAAGGCTGGAGCAGCTGCTGTCACCGTTGGCAGAATTAAACAGGAGGAACAGGAACATCTTTAACGCGTTTCATAAAACGTGAGACCCCATGCATTAAATCACTGCAAAATCCCTAACTGCAGGAAAAGGACAGACAAACAGGGCAGAGCTGGTGTTCAAGTCTCCAGACGTCCTCACAGCGAGACCCTGTTCTGTGCTGCACAACTGAGAACTGCTGCTGCTTGGGAAAACCCTTTTCAAAGGGCAAGGCCAGGAAAATTGCTCCACTGGCGCTGAAAAGAAAACCACACCATCTTCTCAAAGGGAGATGGCAGTAAAGTGGTGGTGGTTCTGAGGCGGTGATGTGACATTCAGTGCCACAGCGTGACACCCGTGCTAAATGCGCCCTTTTCTGTCGCTGAAGATTCATCCAAACACAGGGTTTGAAATAAAACACCAACAGAGCTGCAGTTGATGGCATCAGGTGGGCAAACTGCCTGGCAGGGCATGTTTGCTATAAACCCACCAAGTGGCCATGCCAGAAACCATTAACAGCCACTGTGACACATCCCAACAACGCTGACATTGACTTGGAAAAGCTCTGAAGTTCCATTAATTTTGTTTAAGAGGGGACATTTTTTATCCATTTAACCTGAACAGCCCCCATTAATGTGGTCATTGCACGCAGCTGGGAAAGCCTCCAAACACTGCACCAGAGAGCAGCACCCGGTAAGGGAACAGCGGCACCGATGGCCTCTTCCTTCCCAGGGCCAGACTTTTTACTGCTTTTTCAAACTCAGATCCCTTTTTTACAAAAATAAATAATAATTTAACAATTCCTGCGTTCTTAAGCATGTAAAAAGCATCGGAGAAGCGGTTTGGTGTGCCCTTCGCTGCCCACTTGCCTGTCACCTCTCCCTTTGGTGATGTTCACCAGCTTCTCGATGCCGCCGGTGTCGGCCAGGGCCTTGGCGTTCTCCATGTTCTTGCTGGTGACCTCGTGCAGGGCGCAGCAGATCGCTGCCACTGTCTCGTCAGACAAAACGCTTGGGCCGTTGCCCCCGGGAAGCCGGTTAACCAGATCTCGCATCGCGTATTTACCTACGGAAACACGGCACAGAACCAAGTTAAGTTTGGTACTTAGGATTTGAAATTATAGGGCTTGTCACAAAACTGCATTTGAAAGCTATAAAAAGAAACACGGGATCAAAACTATGGAAACCTTCCAAGAATTCACATTTTACAGAGTCAAGAGAGACTGGAGATCAATTTTTGAATCTTTTATTTTTCCTTTTAAACTTAAAAATATGAGAGGTTGCATTGCTGCATGAAAACAGGGTTGTCTGTGAACAGGAATGACCTGGAGAAGGCAGAATCGATCAAGGAAAGCGTGAGCCTGAGCAGCGGTGCACATTCCTGCGCTTCACTGATGGAGAGATAAAGTGATTCTGACAGGAACTTGATCTGCCCCCTTATTCGTTACCACACGAGATCAGATCTCAGCTCTGTCAGAACCCAGTTACAGACCAACACGGGAACATCACCACTGCAAACGAAGGAAATGGCTCGAGCCAAGGTAAATGCTTTTCCTGTTTAGGCTGAGCTGTTAATGGAGTGATTAATTGATTTTACTGAGGACGTGTATTTGTGTGTAACAGTGAACAACGACTGAGTTTACACCAAGCCAGCAGCCATCTGTCTGCATGGCGTGCCCGAGGACAAAGCTGTTACCCAAAAAGGAGCTCTGCAGACAAGAGGACACCTTTGCAAGGAGATGGAGCGCTGTGCCCAGCGGCTGTGCCCGGCAGCACCCACTGCCACAACGTCGGCAGCACCCACTGCCACAAA